TGTGCATCCCTTCCTGTTGTTGTCTCCCCTTTAATAACAAATCAAGTTCTTCCTATCAGTCAAGGACTCTCACTTCTGCCACAATAACAAGCTAAAGAAAACTTGTTCACATTCCACACAGGCAAAAAAAGAAAAAAAGTGATACAAAGAAAATGGACCCTGGCAACAAGTCAACCTTCCTTTGAAAGGAGGTCTTTCCACCATCTAGCCTAACAAGACTTTGATCATATCATTCAATCACTCCAACTTTGGTTCTCCTGCTTGTTAAATAGAGATAACAATGTCCTTCTTAGAAGGATGTTAGGATGATTCAATGAAGTATCATGTCTACAAATCACCTGAGCTCTGGTGGCCTAATGTTAAGAACCTGCTCTGTAATCCTAAATCCACGCAGTTCGAATCCACCAGCTTTTCCATGGGAGATGGATGAGTAATCTGCTCCCATGCGATTAACCGCCTCTGAAAACCCAGTGGAGGGTTAACTATGGGTCAGTTCTGACTTGACTCAACAGTACACTAACAACAATATAAATCACCTTAAACGTGCACGGGGTAAACTCCCAGTGGCTGCTTGCCACACTTGGATGCCTCACCTGGTTGCAGTGGGCATTTTTTCATGTGCATTTTACCTGCCACCTGGGATCCTCTAGTGCATCTTGGCAGTAAACTAACAAGACAGGACGTCCTGTTAGCCAAGATATATTTTTTTTCCTAGGGCTGGCTCTGTTAGGAGAGTTTCACCTCAAACTTGTTTTCAACACATCTCAATTGGGCCCAGTGCCCTAACCAGCACCCTTGAACCAGAGGCTTTCATTTCTCTTTCAGCATAAATCCGTATTTTTCCCTAGGATATTGCATTTATGCACCAAATTCAAACAAAACTATCACCAGTGAGTTGACGCCTGCAGTGCAGAGGAGTTTCCAAGGATATAAACCTGGACTTGAGTGCTCGGTCTCATCTCTCTCCAGACACGTAGCTGGGGGGGGTTCTCAGTGCCAGCCTGTTCCTTAGCAGCTCAATGCTTCAATGACAACACCAACAGCGTGCCTTCATTTACGTATCAACACCCAGAATCCTGAATCTTTTTATTGGCTGCCCTCCGCAGAGCCTGGGGACAACTGTTTAAGATCCTCTTCCAGAGAATTGGAGGAAGCCCTCAGAGTACGTGGGTTCTGGAGTCTTGGTGCCCAGTGGGAATGGTTATGCTACAATGTTAGCTTTACATCTAAATGCTGATGCCAGACCCCCTGTGGAGAACAGGCAAAGGAAATAAATCCAAGATCTTGATGAAAAGCTCCTAGGGAAGACAAGCACTTTCTATATCAAATGAGAGTTGCATTAGCTCTGTTGTTGTTACCTGCCATTGAATTGGAACTGACCCATAGTTGCCCTTCCAGCAGGTTTTCAGAAGCTTTAAATCACACAAGAGGAAACTATCTTTCCCCCACAGAGCAGGTGGTAGATTTGAACCACCTGCCTTTGACTTGGCGGCATAACTCTTTACTCACTAGGCCACCAAAATTCCCAGCATTAGCTTTAGTTAACGCTTAAGAGAAATCAACTCTAGATTTCATTGTTTCATCAAAGTTCTCAAACAACTATGTTATACACAAAAACACGCACGCATACACACACACACACTGTATTGTCTTGGGGATATAGAAAGGCACCAAAGTTGCTAGGAAAAAGAATCCCCCCAATCAAGGGCATAGCTATTGACATGGACTTGAGAGTCACAAATTATTCTGAGAAGTTAGATAGTCTCACTAAAGAGATGGAATCGGGCCAATATTTGGCTGCCAGAGGATTGTGGCCCTATTATGAGTGTGCAATATCACCCATCATCTCCAAAAATAAAAAGGTTTTGCTATATTTGTGCCCCAAAGGAAACAAAAATGGCTCTGAGGGAAACCAGACAACAAGGTTGAAAGAAACAGATCTGCTGTGTCCCTTTCTGCTCTCAGAGGACAGCAGGCAGAATGGATCAGAGCTGTTCACCGAGTCCCATGCTTAGCTGGACCACGAAGAGTTGCCGTGTTAGCCCTAGAATAAGGAGAAAGCTCACCTGTTCAATATAGACTTTGAAAGAAATGTTTTGGGAAGTGGAAAAGATGGAAAGAAAATTTGTAGACATAAAACGTGATGAGAGGAATGCTAAGCACTTTCTCTTTGCCACTTTCTTTAACATGATAGCGAGTCAATTCTGACTTACAGCAAGCCCGGGCATGTCAGGGTAGAACTGTGCACCACTGGGTTTTCAATGACTGATTTTTTTTTCCAGAAGTTTCTTTCTAGAAGCATATGAGTGGCTTCAAACATTTAACCTTTCAGTTAATACAACTGAGTGGATTAACTTTTTGCACCACCAGGGACTCCATCTTTCTTCTGCTTGCTCAGAAAACAGAACCTAGAGACCAGAGACCATCACATTAAAAACACTGCACCTTTCTCCTGTGGGCTGTGCTAGTCATTATCCCTAATGGTTAAAATCTTTAACAGCCAAGTGTCTTGGGGCACATTTTCAGTTACCAAGAGGAGAAGGCAGGTCTGTGAGGCACTTGAGTCTTCCACAGGATACTCGACAAGACACTGTGGCATCCTAGAGTTCCAAGAAGAAAAGAAGTAAGTCATTCTGTCCTGATCCCAAAGACAAGGAAGAAAAAGAGATGGGCTGGACTTAAGATGAGATCCAGAAGTAATCAAGCTGGAAACATATTGTTGAAGTACCCCAAGAAAGGCTCTTGTTAGGTACCGTGGCGCATCACAAGCCCTCCAGAGGATTTTCAGAGGCAGTAAATCACACGGGAGGAAATTACCTGTCTTTCTCCCACAGAGCAGCTGGTAGATTTGAACTGCACGTCTTCAGGTTGACAACACAGCTCTTTACCAATAGGCTACCAGAGCTCTCATACAGCAGGAACAAGGAAGGTAGGTAGTAGATTTTAATAGAAACGGCTCTTATAGTATGAGACTCCTAGAAACCAAGAAATATTACAGTTGGTTCTTATACAGATAACATTAGGCTACTGAGTAGATGCATCAAATTCTATTTTATTGTGATGCATGATTGGCAGCATTATGATAGATGGGAAGAGATAGAGATTGTTCACAGCTTTAGTTTCCTTGGCTTCACAGTCAACACTCTTGGCACCAGCAGCCAGGAAATTAAAAGATGTATTGTGATGGGAAAGTCTGCTGTTAGGGACCTCTCCAAAGTACTGAAGAGCAATGGTGTCTCTCTGGAGACTAAGGTGCATCTGATACAAGCCATGGTCTTTGCTATCACTTCTTATGCGTCAGAGAGTTATACAATGACTACGGAGTATAGAAGGAGAATTGGTGCCTTTGAGCTGTGGTGTTGGAGAAGAGTATTGAATATACTATGAACTGCTAAAAGAACAAACAAGTTCATCCTGGAGAGGGCTAAATCAAGCTGTTCCTTGGAGTAAAGAATTCTGAAGCTTCGTCTGACATACTTTGGATATGTGGCAAGCAGGGACCAGTCCTTGGAGATGGACCTCATGTTTGGGAGGATGGAGGAACAACAGAGTAGAGGAAGACACTCGATGAGATTAATTGATTCAGTGACTGGGATAGTGGGGCTGGTGTGTCAGAGACAGTGAGATTGGCACAGGATAGAGCAGGGTTTAGGGCTGTTGTACATAGGGTCACTATGAGTGGCAGGTGACTTGACAGCACATAACAACAACAACAACATGGTCAGAAGAACAAAGTTTGAGTCCTTCCCTCATACCAGGCCTTTCCAGAAAACTTAAATTATCAAAGGATTCCTTATCAAATTTTAATAGCACACGAAGTACATAATTTGCATGAATGTTCCTTTTTCAAATTTACTAATACTATTCCACATACTTTTCTAACATCTGCACAGTGATGAAGAGGTCATATAAACAAAGATAGTCACCCGTATCTGTGTTCACATTAGGGATGCCATGTCTACTGTGATCAAATGCCTTGCTGCTGTTAGTGGTGCATTCTGCTAACCTGGAATAGTTGCAAGTAATTTTCATAACTCTGAAGTACATACAATTCTACAGCGTCCACTTGAAAAGCATCTGAGGTAAGAAAATGGCTGGCTACTCTTTCCTGTCCGTAACCTAGGTGTGGTGGAGGCCAGGAGAAGGAATATATCCCATTTTATAAATTCTGAGTGAGGCTCAGATTTCCTAAGTCATTTCCTGTCCTCATACTGGGCTGCATTTAACCTTATCGGCCAAGTACAAGTCATGCGACTCCAGCACACTCAGTTCCATCCCTACTGAGAGATAGCTGCCCTCGTGATGACGACGCAGGGATAGAAGAGGCCAGAGAGATCTGGGGTTTAAGTAGGAGGAGGAGACTGAGAGGATGCTGAGTTCAGGAGGGTGGTGGCAAAAATGCATTCCCAGCCACAGTATAGTATTTTTCGGCGAGAGAAGAGGAGAACATGCATCTTTTTACATTGAATGATTAATTAATTCCTTGCTGGAAGTGCATTCGCTCCTTCTGACTTGGTGGGTAGCAACAGCATCTAAGAGCTCTGCAGACAGCTAGAAAATGTAATCACACAGCATCTTCTCCCGTCCCTCCGCAGCCTCTCCCTCCCCCAGGGTCCGTCAGCTGGTGGCCCAGTGGGGTGCAGGTTTCACTCCCGCTTGCCTTCTGTTCCCCCTTGAGAAGACCGCAGCGGAGCGCAGTGGGAAGCCCCTCCCAGCCCACAAGGTGGGCGACAGGGCGATGACACCATGCACCCTTCCTCAAGTGCCTCCGCCAGGGGAGCTGCAGCAGGGGGCTGCCGCTGGGGGCCCTTGCTGCCTTTGGGCACAGGGAAGACACGCAGGAGCCCCGGAGGTGGCAGAGAGGAGGGTCCGGTGGCTGCCGCCGCAGCGATGGCTGGGAGGGAGGGGGGCACCGAGGGCAGAAGACACCTGGACCAGAAGGAAAGGGAGGAACGCTGGGGTGGCCGCCCTGGAGGGCGCGAAGCCCCCAGCCTGTTTACCTGGACACGCTCAGCAGCAGCAAACTGGGCTCCAGGACGCGGCGGCAGCGAGGGGCGGAGGTGGCGGCGCGCGGCCTGGCGGTGCGCGGGCGGCTCCCGAGGGCGGCGCTGCCCGGCGCGCAGGATGTACTGTCTCACGCTGCGCCCGCCGCGGCTCCGCGCGCTCCTCCGCGAGCGATCACTTCCTCTCTCCCAGCCTGACACTGACAGCTCCCCAGGAGCACCCAGTTTGCGGGGCTCGCCCCGCCCCTGGCCCACGCCCTCCACGCCCCGCGCCCCTCCCGCGGGAGGGCTCCGCTCCCCCTGCCCCCACCAGGTCTCCTTGGAGGGGGTTGGCAGAGGCCAGACAGAGGCTGGTGCAGGGAGGCTGGTGCTGGCTCTGTCCATCAGCCAGCAGGACTCACACCTAAATTGCTGCGAACAGAAGCGCTTTGGTTTTGGGGGGAGCTCCTGCTGACATTCACCCTTGGAACAACTTTCACTCCCAGAAAGGTTAGTCAGTTGGGTAGAAACTGAGAAAGACTCACCTTCTATATACAATGATTTTAAAGACTGATTTATTCCCATATTTCACACAACGAAAAAACATCAATCTGTTTCCACAACATTGCCTTTTAAATTCATTATCTTTTTTTAAAAAACTCTGGGAAACCATTCCCAGATACCCTGAGAATCAACCATTACACTAAAATCAATTGTAAGTTCCAGAACTGGAGTTTAGAATCAAATCCAATAGAAGTACTGCACCATTTTATAATTATGAACGTCCTTCGTTTTTCTTTAATTCTGTGAGATACTTGTATGTACCAGAAAGTAAACTAGTAGAGGGCAGGGACTGTATTGTGTTCACTGTTTTGTCCTCAAGTAGAACAGTGCTTGATACAAAACTTATTTACTGAAACACGCTATAATAATTACAAAATAAACATAAACAAAATGCCCATCATTGTTCCTATGTCTCCTTTTTGGCCAGCCAATTAGGATCATGTTGTTAAATGCTTTTAAGTCAGAACTGACTCATACCTGACCCTCCAGTGGGTTTTCAGAGGTAATAAATCTTATTGCAGGAGATTGTCCATCTTTCTCCCATGGAGCAAGTAAGTATAACTAAAAGAGGAATGTCTTTAGGTATTAGTTATTCAAGACATTCGTAGTGTAGTAGAATAGCTGGGTCATATGGAATTTTTATGTTCAGCTTTTTGAGGAAGCACCAAACTGCCTTCCAGAATGGTTGCACCATTTTACAATCGAACAAACAATACATAAGAGTTCTTTCTCACCACATCCTTTTCAACATCTGTTACTTGCTTCCCTGTTAAACTTTATCACTCTTATTGAAGTGAGATGGTGGTACCTTTTGTGGTTTTGATTTGTGTCTATTATTGCCAGTGACTTGGAGCATTTCTTCATGTGTCTATTTGCCATTCGAATATCTTCCTCTGTAAAAATTCTTTCCATGTATTTGGCCCATTTTGTAATTGGGTTATCAGTCTTTTTCTTGTGGAGGCCCAGGAGTATTCTGTAAACTTTTGTTCTAAGACTCTGGTCCAAGATGTTATTACTGAGAATACGAGAACTGAGGCACAAACTGAAATTTTACACCAATGTTCATAGCAGCATTATTCACCATTGCAAGAACATGGAAACAGCCCAAATGTCCAACCACCAACAAATGGATTGAGAAATTATGGTACATTCACACAATTCAATACTATGCAGCAATGCAGGAGCAATAACTTTGTAAATTATTACCTAACTTGGGAAGGACTGGAGAGCTTTACGCTGAGTGAACTAACTCAGTCCCACAAGGATAAATACTGTATAAAACTGTTATCGTAGAATGAGTATAAGGATCCAAGAGGGGTGGGAAAGGCTGGAAGCAGAGGAATGTGGATGTACAGGGGGAAGGGGAGATTAATCATTGGGTTGTACAATTTGATGGGAGGGGAGTGAGAGAAATTGAAATAATTTGTTCAAATTTGTATTCAAATTTTATAAATAAATTGTTGTTGTTGTTGTTGTTGTTATGTGCCATCGAGTTGCTTGTGACTCATAGCGACCCTATGTACAACATCCCTAAACTCTGCTCTGTCCTGTGCCAATCACACTGTCTCTGACACTCTCATCCCGATTATCTCAGTCACTGAATTAATCCACCTCATAGAGGACCTTCCCCTCCTGTGCTGTCCCTCCACCCTCTCGTGCATGATGTCCTTCTCCAAGGACGGGTCTCTCCTTACAACATGTCCAAAGTATGTTAGATGGAGCCTCAGAATCCTTGCTTCCAAGGAGCCACCCGGTTTAACCCTTTCCAGGTTGAATCTGTTTGTTTTCCTAGCAGTCCATGGTACTCTCAATACTCTTTTCCAGCACCACAGCTCAAAGGCATCAATTTTCCTTCTATCCTCCTTTGTCATTGTCCAACTCTCTGATGCATAACAAGTGATAGCAAAGACCATGGTCTGTATCAGACGCACCTTAGTCTCCAGAGAGACACCATTGTTCCTCAGTACTTTGGAGAGGTCTCTAACAGCAGACTTTCCCACTGCAATACGTCTTTTCATTTCCTGGCTACTAGTGTAGCCAGGACACTGGACAAGTTGTGCCAAGAAATCTGGAGAACAACCATTTGGCAAACTGACTGGAAGAGATCCATGTTTGTTCCCATCCCAAAGAAGGGTGACCCAACAGAGTGAGGAAATTGCAGAACAATATCATTGATTTCACATGCAAGCAAGATTATCCAAAAACAACCAGAACAGCACATCAGCAGAGAACTGCCAGAAGTCCAGGTTGGGTTTAGAAGGGGTCGTGCTGCTAGGGATACTGTAGCTAATGTTAGATGGATCTTAGCTGAAAGCAGGGAATACCAGAGGAATGTATATCTGTTTCATTGATTATGCAAAGGCATTTGACTGTGTGATCATAACAAACTGTGGCTGACTCTGAGAAAAATGGGAATCCCAGAACATTTGATTGTGCTAATGCAAAACGTATACTTGGACCAGGAGGTCGTCGTCAGAACAGAGCAAGGGAAACACTGAATGGTTCAAAATTGGGAAGGGTGTATGCCAGGGATGTGTCTTATCTCCATAACTATAAATAAACTAGTAGAGAAAAAAATAAGAAAAAGAAAAAATATATTCTTTAGGATAACTTGGCACTGCCATGTATTAGGTACCTACACAAAGGTAACAATGGAGGCCTAGTGGTGAAGAGTTACCCTGTCAGCTCAAAGACATGTAGTTTGAATCTACCAGCAGCAACAACAAGCTATGTGTAAATGGAGTTTTATCTTTCAGGCTTTCCTAACAATCTGAATATGACCTGACCAGTTAGATGTGGAGGAATATGTGAATAGGACATGTTAGCCTATCCACAAGGGAATTGGCCAATCTCAACAATCTATAAAGAGATTGGCTAGTCTCACCATTGAATTGAGCAAGCCATCTGCAAACTATCAACAGCTCTTCCCCTTGCCCACGAAGAAGAAAGAGATTTCTACCCTCTGCCACAAGTAAAGAACCCTCATCACCAGGAAAAGCGCAGCCGTGGCTGAATTAGAGAATTAACCTGAGATGGAGTTGTCTTGGGACTGATACACAATTGGAACTGGGGCTAAGAGACTTTGCTTATATTTGTTGACCAAGCAGGGATGTAAGTTCATAATTTTCAGGACTGAGAACTTTATAGCACTGATCTAAAGCTGTGAGGCTAAAGGCTGATATACCTGAGTACATTTTGGAAACTGTCATAACTGTATTATGAAACTAACCTGAACTCTGTAACCTTTTGACTTTCCTAACACGATCTGTGTGATCTGTGAGCTATCACATCAGGTTTTGAATCCAGAAAAGCAGTAAGATTGGTGTTGAGATGAATAGGAAGAGGAATGGGAGCACGGAGTAAATGTCTGAACTCATAGGAATTGGTTCTGTTATGATACTGTTGACAGGGACAGATCCCCCTTGTGAAGTTAATAAAGGTCAGACATGGCCGTCCCCACAGGCCCTTATTCTTTCTACTACATGCCAAACGCTGTGCATATTTTACTTTAATTTTTTTTCTAATTATATAATACCATAGAGGTCCTAGTGGCTTAGTGCATAATTTCAAGAGTTGGAATTCACCTGAGAGGATGAAAGATGGACAGTCTACCTTGCTGTTGTTGTTGTTAGGTGCCACAGAGTTGAGTAGGACTCATAGTAAATGTACAACAGATCTGAACCCTGTCCTTTCCTGTGCCATTCCCAAAATTTCTAACACATTTGAGCCTATTGCAGCAGTTGACTGTGTCTATCTTTCTGGTTATAGGTTTTTTCTCTTTTATCCCAAACCTTCAACTTACCAAGCATGATGCCTCTTTCTAAGATTTGTCTCTCTGAGCAACATGCTTTTTACCATCTTTGTCTTCAAGAAGCACTCTGGCTGTACTTTCTCCAAGATGAATTTGTTGGTTCTTTCGACAATCCATGGAATATTCAGTACTCTTCTCCAACATCACAGATCTAAGATATTAATTTTTCTTTTGCCATCCTTATTCATTGCTCAGCTTTCAAATGTATAACAAGCGACTGAAAACATAATGGCCTGAATCAGGCTCAGCTTAATCCTCAAACTGTCATTATTGTTACTCAATAATTTGAAGAATTCACTGACTGTAGACTTTCCCAGTGCAATACATCTCCTGATCTCTTGACTGCTGCTAACAAGGATATTAATCATAGACCCAAGCACAATAATTTGTTAACTGTCTCAATCTTTTCTACACCTATCATGATGTTGTCTATCAGTCCCTTGGTAAGAATCTTTGTTTTCTTGACACTGGAAAGCAAACCATATTGAAGTCTGCATTCTTTGATCTGCAGCAAAGGTTTCAAGTTCTCCTCACTTTCAGTAAAGTGTGTTATCTGCATAAAGCAGATTATTGATGAGTCTTCCTCTGATTTTGATTTCCACATTCTTCTTCATAGAGCCCAGCTCCTGGCACAATTTGCTGAGCATACAGATTGAATAGGTATGGAGAGAGGATACAACTCTGACACATATCTTTCTTAATTTTAAACTGTGTAGTATTCCCTTGCTTTGTAGCACAACAGCTTTTTTGGTCTAGGTATAGGTTTCTCATGAGCATAATCCATTTTTCTGGAATTCTCATTCTTCTCCATTTTAGCCATAATCTGTTATAATCCACACAGTCAAATGTATTTGCATAGTCAATAAGATGTAAATATGCATCCTTCTGGTATTACCTTACCTTACTTCCAGCCAGGA